CCACCCCCAGGGCGCAGACACTTGTGGTGGAATAAGCTACAGGATAAGAGGGACTGAGAATAGCCTGAGAGTGAGGGAGCAGATGGGGCACAGGTGGGTGAAAGTTTGCTGGTGTGCAGGAGGGAAGCTAGGCCAGGAGCTAAATGAAAGATGATTGGCTTCAGAGGACGTGCAGCCCCCATGATGACTGGCTGAAGCTTGAAGTGGGAATTCAGCAGATATCAGTGCTACAGGTGAAGCAGATGAGTATTCCTGATTGAATTTCTGCTTGAGCTTCATTAACAATACTTAGTAACATGAAGACAAAGGACCACAGCAGACAGGTCAGGGGAAAATGTTGTGGAGAACTTTTATTCAATTTAATTCAGTTAATTTCTATTGCACCAATTCCTAACATTGGTCATCTCAAGGCATTTTACGGAGACAATTCAACCAGATCAAACAGAATAGTTCAAAGGTTTCTATCTAAGGAAAACCAGCTGATTGCATCGACTCATTGACTCTCCAGCAATCCCTTACACCAAGCATGCATGAAGTGACAGTGGAAAGGAAACTCCCCTTTTAACAGGAAGAAATCTCCAGCAGAAGTTTAAAGCATAAGTTGGTTATAAAAAAAAGATCCAAAGCTAAAAAAAAAAAAGAAAAAGTGACCTGACTGTTAATCTGACAAAAAGAAGTCCAACTTAGATAAAAGGCTGCAGAAGGAGACCATCACTGGGAAGAGAAGATTAAAGACACATTGAAGTGGGAGTTCTGCAGAGATCAACATCAAAGATGGGAAAATGACAACTATTGTTGCTTGAGGATCAGTTTCTGAAAAAGCTCAAGTAGAGTTCACGTTTACTGTGGCTGAAACCTGACCCTTTGTCTAACTGTATCCAAGATATATATCTCTGCTCTGAGTCTGAAAGGTGCTCACTGTTTTTACATAAACTAATATCTGAAATTTCATCCTAGTTTTTATTAAACAGAGCTCAAGCTGAGGGCTGAAGGCTCAACCTGTGATTTTCCCACAGTCTAAGTCATGTGTGCCTTAAACCAAAATATGCTGTAAAAATTTTTTCCATAGCAGAGTTACACACTCAAGTTCATACAAATGTGTAGAAAACTAATTAAAAAACACAAATCACGGAATATCTGTATTACATTGTAGGGGCTGGTGGATGAAATACAATTTTACAGAGATACATTATTCTTATATGCATTTAAAACCTTAGAATAAAATGTCTTCTGTGGTTAAAATTAGCATTGATGGTGTAAGATAAGATATGGGAAAACCTGAGAACCACAAATAAAATACAATGCATAAGTAAGGTGTGATACCTACTCTTTATAAGAAGATTGAGGTTTTATCCTTATGAAAGAAAGAAATGTTTACATATTGAAAGAGATAACAAACTAACTTTCAGCAGGTCTCACAAACGAAGGAGAAATTATGAGGAGGAAAACCACCTTTCAGAATATTTGAGGCAGAAAACAGCTTCTGTTCAATTTATCACCATGGAAATAATTTCTTTAAGGTATTCAAGTATTATAAAAAATAGATCTAAATAATTAAAAAAAACTGCTCTTTTTAACCCTTTAGTTGTAATTATTTCCCAGTTTTTCTATCATTGTACCATTTTTCATCTATTTTTGTCTTGATTGCTGTTTGAACCAATCAACTCTAACAAACAGACCTCTATTTAAACTATAAGTAATCTGAGCTATCCTGCTGTAGGTAAACAGTAGCTACCGCATACTAGAGCCACAGAATATATTTCCTGCAGTAGAAATCTCGAAACCCTTGGTTGTTCTCATATAAATAAATAAATAAATAAATAAATAAATAAATAAATAAATAAATAAATAAATAAATACATATATGCATATATGCATATTGCTGCAGGGTGTAAGATGCTGACAGGGAAAGCATGGAGCGCCATAAAGTCTTTGGAATAGTGCACAGGAACATCTGTACAGAGTATGGGCTGGAAACCCCAAGATCAAAGTGGAAACACCTCCAAAGATGGTAGAGAATGACCAAGCCAAGATCCTGTGGGACTTCCAGATACAGACGGACCGAATGACAAACCATCCGGACATTGTGGTGGTGGACAAAAAGCAGAGGAAAGCCGTTGTGGTTTACATAGCAATACCAGATGACTGCAACATCAAGAAATAGGAACATGACAAACTAGAGAAATACCAGGGGCCCAGAGAAGAGCTGGAGAAAACCTGGAAGGTCAAGGTATCAGTGGTACCCATGGTTAAGAAGGTAAGGAAGAGTTATATATATATATATATATATATATATATATATATATATATATAT